ACCCTGGTCCATGAGCACCACATACAGGATCAGAGACCAGAGGAAAGGATCAGAGACCAGTGGACAGGATCAGAGACCAGTGGACAGGATCAGAGACCAGAGGACAGGATCGCAGACCAGAGGACAGGATCAGAGACCAGAGGACAGGTTTAGAGACCAGTGGACCAGTTGTTTCAGTCTCTGCTCAGATGTTTAAAGAATTAAATCACTTCCTGTTTTATGTTTTGATTCTGACTGGACTGACGAGCTCATGGCTAGTCTGAACTCATGTGGATCTTGATCTTCCAGCAGCTAACCCTTCATTAGTCATAGAACCATGTGAATGTACACAGCTACAGCAGCAGCTAGCTGTAGCAGTTACAGCTCAGCTGTTTCATGTTTCTGAAAAATGAAGTATTTTGACCAAAACAGTTTTTAAAGCGGAGCTGAAACTTCAGCTTTTTGTCCAAATGATTCAGTTAATGCAAAATATGTCCTGCAGGAAGTGATATCGCTAGCTGCTGCCGTATTTTGTAGAGTTTCTCATGAATTGATTTTAAACCAATCAGGTGTTTTAGGACTTTGGTCTTAGCCGTTAGTTTGTCGAACTGAGGTTGTTGTAAGATCTATCTGTGGCAGGTAAGATGTTTATACCTCATGATGACTCCACAGAATCACACTTCAAAATGCTCCATTATGTGATTCAGTCTAAAACATCCTTCTAGAGTAGAAGTAGATGTTTTTTGGTGTTTGGGGGGGGGGGGGGGGGGGCAACTTCAGACCCTTGTTGATTTAGGGGGGCAGGGTGAGGGTGTTGATGCTTTCCTGTCTGTGTGAGATAAAACTCCACGTGTGGACCYACAGAGCAGAGGACTGTGATCCTCTGCCAGGAAGGGAAGGGTCGGTCTAATGGTTTCATCCTGGTCTGAGAGAACAAAGAGACGAATCAAATCCAGATCCAGATCTGGTTCTTCCCTGAAGACCACGACAGAAAACCTTTTTACTGAAACGGGATTTAAAGCTGCAGAAGCTGCGCTGCTCACAGGGTTTGTAAGTTTTTATGACGCTGGGCGGGGAGGGGAAGCAGCTGTGCTGGAAAGTCCGTCTGAGCTGGACTTTAATTATGAGRGCAGAATGTGGGAACGAAAAGAGTCCAAATCTGAAGACAAACAGGAACAGGTAACGAGAGGACGCCAGCCGAGGCCAGGAACCYATGAACAGACTTTATTATTTCAGGTTCAAGCAGCCGAAGTGACTGAAACCTGTTTTRAACCCGCAGAGCTGCAGCTTCGGGCCCGATGGACAGAAGAGGGTCTGAGTCCGACGGCCAGGTGGACGTGTCTTCACCGTCTCCGTCCTGCGGCCTCACCAACAGGAGCAGCAGCTTCTTCAAGGTAAACAAACGAGTCGCCTCTGAACATTAAAAACCTTTCTTTTCCTCAGAGAAGCTGACTCAGCAGGTGGACTGAGCAGAAAAGAAGTCCTCCTTCACCACGATTGACCGGAGCAACACCCTCATGACCGAGGACAATGCCCCATCTGTGGACTGAGCACAAACAAACCCATAAAAGTCCCTGAAACACAAACTGCTGCTGGTAACCTTCTTTTAGTTCTATTTGCTTGTTAGCTCAGGAGTTTCCCGGGACGTGTCCATCAGTCGGGTTTCTTTGGTTTCAGTCATGTGAATTAAAATAATCGATGTTTTTTTTAAATTAAAAATGAGACCAGGTTGTTCTTTCTTTTAATAACCGATTATTGAGACTTCAGGTGATCCAGCTCTGGGAGTCTAAGGGTTGGGGGTCCACAGGTCTGAGTCCAGAGGGACGGTTCGTTGTGGTGACCCCTGTAGAGGGGGGCAGCTGAAAGTAAAACAAAACAGAGCTCAGAGAGTTTAACTGAACTGGATCGGGTTGGCCCCATGTGGTCTGCGGTCTGCCCTGGAARCCAGTTCCCAGAGAACTGTTCAGGAATGTCGCCCTCAGGTGGAGGAAATGTGGAACTAACAGCTGAAGGAAGAAACCTTTCTGTAGAAATCCTTCTGTGGATCTGACCCGGTTTGTCCCGGGTTGGATCTGATCCTGACCCTCGGTGACCCCGTCCTGTGGTCAGACCCGGTCTCCTGTTTGGACCTCGTGACCCAGACCGTCCTTGAACAGAATCCAGATTTCATCATCAGTTCAGGGTTTGTTGGACAGGACTCGTCCCCCCGACAGGTAGAAGGAATCAGTTCTGGTGTTCAGGACAAACCTGGTCCATCACCAAGAACTGAAAGAAGAAAGCTGTCCTCGTGGACGAGACAAAGATTCAGCTGTTTGGGTACAAAGACACCGAGACTTTATGTCCTTCCTGTCCTTRCTGGCTTCTTTGTTTTTGTGTCCTTTCTGTCTGTCTTTTCGTAGTCTCTCCATCGTTTCTGTTTTCTTTCTTTTCTGTCCTCTGTCCTTTCCATCCTTACTGTCCTCTTTATCGCCTCTGTCCTCTCTGTCCCCTGTCCCAGTGTCTCCTCAGCGAGGCTTGGAAACTGTCCCCCCTGTCTTCAGTCTCCTTGTTTCCTGTCTGAAGGAAGTGACAAACAGAAAAACCACTTCCTTCTCTTTTGTTCTTCGTGGTTCCGGTCCGGTCCAGTCCAGAGTCCRGCTCTGAAACCTTCAGCTTCTTGTCCTCCTGTTTCCAGCTGATCGACTCGTTCGCCTCAGAGATCGGGGAGCTGAAGAAGGAGATGGTCCAGACGAGTCCAGCTGTGGACAAAGACCTCGTGGACCTGGGCGGGTAGGACAGCTGGTCTGATCTGGTTCTTTTTTTTTTATTTAAAATAATTCAGAGAGACGATTTGTTTTGTGTCCTCCTCAGGCTGGAGGCAYGCGTCTACCTGCAGCCCCCTCAGTGTCTGGGGTCCGCAGGGGAACGGGATTCTGGATACGACTCGTTACGCAGGAAGATGAGCGTGTTGGACAGGCTGACAGAAACCCACCCGGTCTGGCTGCTGCTGGGGGTCAGCGAGGAGAAGACCTCCTGCCTCCTGCTCCAACAGCCGGCAGGGGTGAGARGTCTCCGTCCTCTGATCGTTTGTCTCGTCTAACATGGACTGAGACGACTTTATTTTGTTTTTATTTTGTTTTTATTTGTGACTCAGGTGTTTCTGGTCAGGAAGTCYGCGGCTCTGCAGAGGAAGGTTCTTTCTGTCCGTCTGGAGGAGGATCAATCAGAACCTCCCGTCAGCCACTTCCCCATCAGAGAGACCCAGTTCTGTAAGTGTCTGGTCCACAGAGTCCGGACGGGGACGTCCTGGTTCTGAAAGAACGTCAAAGAGATCGTTGAAAACCTCGTCGCTGTGCTTTCGGTCACTCGCTCCGTTTCCTGTCATCTTTAAACAAAAACAAAAGAAAAAGAAAAAAGGAGAAATGAAAGTTTGTCCGGAGGCGGAGCTGCCGACAGTTCTGACCCGAAACCACGAGTTTCATTTCGGACTTCATGACTCGTTATCAGGATGAAGTAAAACTCAACTAATGTTCTTAAAAAACATCTGAAATGAAAATAAAATCAGGTTCATGKATCTGAAAAATCCACATTTTATTCACAAAATAAACAAATAAAAAAACTAGAAGCACTCAGAGTGCAAACCTTCGCCAAGACCAGCTTTCCCCATCCTGTAATAGAGTTACAAAGAGGCACACCAATACTACAGCGCCACCTGCTGGACACTTGGAAACACACCCTGTGAAAGCATCACAGCTTTGCCGATGCCAGTGTGTTAAAAGAAAAAAAATTCCTGTATCCGCATCGTGATCCGGAACATCAACAAAATTTAAAGGTATGTTTCTTGGCCCAGTACCCACATGTGGTAAAAGTTTCATGACAATCCGTCCACAAGTTTTTGAGTAATGTTGTCCACAGACAGAACGGCAGACAGATGCGACCGAAAACATTACCTCGCCCTTGGCAGAGGTAACTAAAAAAATCAGGTAATTTTATATTTTATGGCAGAAAATCTTTAAAGATGTTTCAGCTGTAAAACATCTGCACAGGGTCTGTGAAGATCCAGGACCTGAGGAGACCAGGTCTGGATATTTTAGAGGACCTGAGGAGACCAGTTACATGTTAAATGTTCTTAGTCAGAGGTCTGGCTTCTGGTCCAGGTTTAGAGTTAGTCTGGYCTCTTCTACTATGAAGCATTACTTTAGACCTTCAGTGGTTCTGGAAAAAGACATCTGGACCTTTCTGCTCCTTCAGACCTGATTCTGGACCAGGAGAAAGGATGGGCCTGATACACCACAGATATCAGACCTCCACCTGAGACCAGGAGACAAAAACAAGTAACGGTGTCCTGACCCAGACCGGACTCCACTGCCCCAGATGATCCTGGTTCAGTCCTTCAGGAATAAAAAAGGACTCTGGAGGAACCAGAGTTGTACAGTAACTAAGTACAAATACTTTGTTACTGTAATTAAGAAGAAATTTTGGATATCTGTACTTTACTTAAGTAATTATTTTGCAGCCTACTTTTTACTTTTACTCGTTACATTTTTTTAAAAAGGTAAGAAGTAGAAAGTKATTTCTCCTATTTCATTCCAGCTTGTTATTGTTAAAAAGAAATACTATCCTAAAAAAATTGTGTCTCCTGGATAGAGTGAATATAACTGTGGTTGGATGAGAAGCATAAATATATAAAACTCTGATAGCGTATTAGTTTGTACACAATTACTCAAAGCTGCACACCTATAATTTTTTTTGAAGAAGTCACCTCCCAATAAATGTATTTTGGAAAAAATAACCGTTCATTTTTACTCAGTACTTTTACTTTTAATACTTAAGTAGATTTTATGTCAGAAATTTACTTTTGATGCTTAAGTACAACATAAATCAAATACTTTAAGACTTTTACTCAAGTAATATTATTAGAGGAGACTTGAACTTTTACCAAAGTAATTTTATGATAAGATACTTGTACTTTTACTCAAGWATCACTGTCAGGTACTTTATACAAGACTGGAAGGGACGAGTCCTGCATGCAGAGCTGTTTTAAAAGCAACAGCTCTGAATCAGAGCTGGAGCAGGTCTACAGAGACCTGCTGGGGTTCAGATGAACTTATGATCAATCCATCATATCACAACATATGAACTCAGCTGTGACCTGAATCATATTTATCTTTAATTTAACTTGCTTTAGCAGCTCGTGGATCCTGTTATTTTAACGTTTGCTTGATAAAAAGCAGATCTTTTATTGGTCGTGTCGGTTGTGATCGATGCAGGCATGTTGTAATTTCATCTGAATCCACCGGGGGGAGTGGAGGAGCTGCTGCCAGCACGTGTCACATTACAACACAGCTGTGAATTTTCCCAGCTGGAGTTACAGAGGGAGGAGACGCCTGCAGCCTGGTCTGAACTCCAGATGTAGGTCAGCTCCTCTCCGGTTCTCTGGTTCATCCAGTCCTCACCGCCTCAGAGTTTCATTAAAATCTGCGCGTCACTCCTGAGATCAGCTGTTTTTATTAGTTTGTTTGTTTTGTTTGTTTGTTTGCAGCTTTTTCTCTGGAGGGATCTGGGGTCGGCTTTGCAGATCTGTTCCACCTTGTGGCTTTTTACTGCATCAGCAGGTAAATAATCTGTGTAAAGCAACAATAAACAACGAACAAACAACAAGCCTCCACCAATAACAAACAAACAAAAAAAAAAACAGAAGAAGAGCTGAATAAATTAAAATAATTCAAATAAAAACAACACTTCCACTGCAGGAAAACATGAAACGTCTCTGATCAGAGACAAAAACTGGTCTTTGAGGACCGGTTTTTTGARACACCTGTCAAAAACACACGAGTGTAGATCTACGTGATGAAACTTCCTGTACCTTTAACACGGTACAAAAAAGGGTTTCCAGGTTCTTCCTAATGTCAGCTTCACAAAGTCTTTTTCCAATTTAAGAAAATAAAATCCCTCTTCAGAGGTTTATAGTAACTAAGTACGTTTACTTCGTTACAATAC